TGCCCGCTCTGCCCGCTCTGCCCGCTCTGCCCGCTCTGCCCGCTCTGCCCGCTCTGCCCGCTCTGCCCGCTCTGCCCGCTCTGCCCGCTCTGCCCGCTCTGCCCGCTCTGCCCGCTCTGCCCGCTCTGCCCGCTCTGCCCGCTCTGCCCGCTCTGCCCGCTCTGCCCGCTCTGCCCGCTCTGCCCGCTCTGCCCGCTCTGCCCGCTCTGCCCGCTCTGCCCGCTCTGCCCGCTCTGCCCGCTCTGCCCGCTCTGCCCGCTCTGCCCGCTCTGCCCGCTCTGCCCGCTCTGCCCGCTCTGCCCGCTCTGCCCGCTCTGCCCGCTCTGCCCGCTCTGCCCGCTCTGCCCGCTCTGCCCGCTCTGCCCGCTCTGCCCGCTCTGCCCGCTCTGCCCGCTCTGCCCGCTCTGCCCGCTCTGCCCGCTCTGCCCGCTCTGCCCGCTCTGCCCGCTCTGCCCGCTCTGCCCGCTCTGCCCGCTCTGCCCGCTCTGCCCGCTCTGCCCGCTCTGCCCGCTCTGCCCGCTCTGCCCGCTCTGCCCGCTCTGCCCGCTCTGCCCGCTCTGCCCGCTCTGCCCGCTCTGCCCGCTCTGCCCGCTCTGCCCGCTCTGCCCGCTCTGCCCGCTCTGCCCGCTCTGCCCGCTCTGCCCGCTCTGCCCGCTCTGCCCGCTCTGCCCGCTCTGCCCGCTCTGCCCGCTCTGCCCGCTCTGCCCGCTCTGCCCGCTCTGCCCGCTCTGCCCGCTCTGCCCGCTCTGCCCGCTCTGCCCGCTCTGCCCGCTCTGCCCGCTCTGCCCGCTCTGCCCGCTCTGCCCGCTCTGCCCGCTCTGCCCGCTCTGCCCGCTCTGCCCGCTCTGCCCGCTCTGCCCGCTCTGCCCGCTCTGCCCGCTCTGCCCGCTCTGCCCGCTCTGCCCGCTCTGCCCGCTCTGCCCGCTCTGCCCGCTCTGCCCGCTCTGCCCGCTCTGCCCGCTCTGCCCGCTCTGCCCGCTCTGCCCGCTCTGCCCGCTCTGCCCGCTCTGCCCGCTCTGCCCGCTCTGCCCGCTCTGCCCGCTCTGCCCGCTCTGCCCGCTCTGCCCGCTCTGCCCGCTCTGCCCGCTCTGCCCGCTCTGCCCGCTCTGCCCGCTCTGCCCGCTCTGCCCGCTCTGCCCGCTCTGCCCGCTCTGCCCGCTCTGCCCGCTCTGCCCGCTCTGCCCGCTCTGCCCGCTCTGCCCGCTCTGCCCGCTCTGCCCGCTCTGCCCGCTCTGCCCGCTCTGCCCGCTCTGCCCGCTCTGCCCGCTCTGCCCGCTCTGCCCGCTCTGCCCGCTCTGCCCGCTCTGCCCGCTCTGCCCGCTCTGCCCGCTCTGCCCGCTCTGCCCGCTCTGCCCGCTCTGCCCGCTCTGCCCGCTCTGCCCGCTCTGCCCGCTCTGCCCGCTCTGCCCGCTCTGCCCGCTCTGCCCGCTCTGCCCGCTCTGCCCGCTCTGCCCGCTCTGCCCGCTCTGCCCGCTCTGCCCGCTCTGCCCGCTCTGCCCGCTCTGCCCGCTCTGCCCGCTCTGCCCGCTCTGCCCGCTCTGCCCGCTCTGCCCGCTCTGCCCGCTCTGCCCGCTCTGCCCGCTCTGCCCGCTCTGCCCGCTCTGCCCGCTCTGCCCGCTCTGCCCGCTCTGCCCGCTCTGCCCGCTCTGCCCGCTCTGCCCGCTCTGCCCGCTCTGCCCGCTCTGCCCGCTCTGCCCGCTCTGCCCGCTCTGCCCGCTCTGCCCGCTCTGCCCGCTCTGCCCGCTCTGCCCGCTCTGCCCGCTCTGCCCGCTCTGCCCGCTCTGCCCGCTCTGCCCGCTCTGCCCGCTCTGCCCGCTCTGCCCGCTCTGCCCGCTCTGCCCGCTCTGCCCGCTCTGCCCGCTCTGCCCGCTCTGCCCGCTCTGCCCGCTCTGCCCGCTCTGCCCGCTCTGCCCGCTCTGCCCGCTCTGCCCGCTCTGCCCGCTCTGCCCGCTCTGCCCGCTCTGCCCGCTCTGCCCGCTCTGCCCGCTCTGCCCGCTCTGCCCGCTCTGCCCGCTCTGCCCGCTCTGCCCGCTCTGCCCGCTCTGCCCGCTCTGCCCGCTCTGCCCGCTCTGCCCGCTCTGCCCGCTCTGCCCGCTCTGCCCGCTCTGCCCGCTCTGCCCGCTCTGCCCGCTCTGCCCGCTCTGCCCGCTCTGCCCGCTCTGCCCGCTCTGCCCGCTCTGCCCGCTCTGCCCGCTCTGCCCGCTCTGCCCGCTCTGCCCGCTCTGCCCGCTCTGCCCGCTCTGCCCGCTCTGCCCGCTCTGCCCGCTCTGCCCGCTCTGCCCGCTCTGCCCGCTCTGCCCGCTCTGCCCGCTCTGCCCGCTCTGCCCGCTCTGCCCGCTCTGCCCGCTCTGCCCGCTCTGCCCGCTCTGCCCGCTCTGCCCGCTCTGCCCGCTCTGCCCGCTCTGCCCGCTCTGCCCGCTCTGCCCGCTCTGCCCGCTCTGCCCGCTCTGCCCGCTCTGCCCGCTCTGCCCGCTCTGCCCGCTCTGCCCGCTCTGCCCGCTCTGCCCGCTCTGCCCGCTCTGCCCGCTCTGCCCGCTCTGCCCGCTCTGCCCGCTCTGCCCGCTCTGCCCGCTCTGCCCGCTCTGCCCGCTCTGCCCGCTCTGCCCGCTCTGCCCGCTCTGCCCGCTCTGCCCGCTCTGCCCGCTCTGCCCGCTCTGCCCGCTCTGCCCGCTCTGCCCGCTCTGCCCGCTCTGCCCGCTCTGCCCGCTCTGCCCGCTCTGCCCGCTCTGCCCGCTCTGCCCGCTCTGCCCGCTCTGCCCGCTCTGCCCGCTCTGCCCGCTCTGCCCGCTCTGCCCGCTCTGCCCGCTCTGCCCGCTCTGCCCGCTCTGCCCGCTCTGCCCGCTCTGCCCGCTCTGCCCGCTCTGCCCGCTCTGCCCGCTCTGCCCGCTCTGCCCGCTCTGCCCGCTCTGCCCGCTCTGCCCGCTCTGCCCGCTCTGCCCGCTCTGCCCGCTCTGCCCGCTCTGCCCGCTCTGCCCGCTCTGCCCGCTCTGCCCGCTCTGCCCGCTCTGCCCGCTCTGCCCGCTCTGCCCGCTCTGCCCGCTCTGCCCGCTCTGCCCGCTCTGCCCGCTCTGCCCGCTCTGCCCGCTCTGCCCGCTCTGCCCGCTCTGCCCGCTCTGCCCGCTCTGCCCGCTCTGCCCGCTCTGCCCGCTCTGCCCGCTCTGCCCGCTCTGCCCGCTCTGCCCGCTCTGCCCGCTCTGCCCGCTCTGCCCGCTCTGCCCGCTCTGCCCGCTCTGCCCGCTCTGCCCGCTCTGCCCGCTCTGCCCGCTCTGCCCGCTCTGCCCGCTCTGCCCGCTCTGCCCGCTCTGCCCGCTCTGCCCGCTCTGCCCGCTCTGCCCGCTCTGCCCGCTCTGCCCGCTCTGCCCGCTCTGCCCGCTCTGCCCGCTCTGCCCGCTCTGCCCGCTCTGCCCGCTCTGCCCGCTCTGCCCGCTCTGCCCGCTCTGCCCGCTCTGCCCGCTCTGCCCGCTCTGCCCGCTCTGCCCGCTCTGCCCGCTCTGCCCGCTCTGCCCGCTCTGCCCGCTCTGCCCGCTCTGCCCGCTCTGCCCGCTCTGCCCGCTCTGCCCGCTCTGCCCGCTCTGCCCGCTCTGCCCGCTCTGCCCGCTCTGCCCGCTCTGCCCGCTCTGCCCGCTCTGCCCGCTCTGCCCGCTCTGCCCGCTCTGCCCGCTCTGCCCGCTCTGCCCGCTCTGCCCGCTCTGCCCGCTCTGCCCGCTCTGCCCGCTCTGCCCGCTCTGCCCGCTCTGCCCGCTCTGCCCGCTCTGCCCGCTCTGCCCGCTCTGCCCGCTCTGCCCGCTCTGCCCGCTCTGCCCGCTCTGCCCGCTCTGCCCGCTCTGCCCGCTCTGCCCGCTCTGCCCGCTCTGCCCGCTCTGCCCGCTCTGCCCGCTCTGCCCGCTCTGCCCGCTCTGCCCGCTCTGCCCGCTCTGCCCGCTCTGCCCGCTCTGCCCGCTCTGCCCGCTCTGCCCGCTCTGCCCGCTCTGCCCGCTCTGCCCGCTCTGCCCGCTCTGCCCGCTCTGCCCGCTCTGCCCGCTCTGCCCGCTCTGCCCGCTCTGCCCGCTCTGCCCGCTCTGCCCGCTCTGCCCGCTCTGCCCGCTCTGCCCGCTCTGCCCGCTCTGCCCGCTCTGCCCGCTCTGCCCGCTCTGCCCGCTCTGCCCGCTCTGCCCGCTCTGCCCGCTCTGCCCGCTCTGCCCGCTCTGCCCGCTCTGCCCGCTCTGCCCGCTCTGCCCGCTCTGCCCGCTCTGCCCGCTCTGCCCGCTCTGCCCGCTCTGCCCGCTCTGCCCGCTCTGCCCGCTCTGCCCGCTCTGCCCGCTCTGCCCGCTCTGCCCGCTCTGCCCGCTCTGCCCGCTCTGCCCGCTCTGCCCGCTCTGCCCGCTCTGCCCGCTCTGCCCGCTCTGCCCGCTCTGCCCGCTCTGCCCGCTCTGCCCGCTCTGCCCGCTCTGCCCGCTCTGCCCGCTCTGCCCGCTCTGCCCGCTCTGCCCGCTCTGCCCGCTCTGCCCGCTCTGCCCGCTCTGCCCGCTCTGCCCGCTCTGCCCGCTCTGCCCGCTCTGCCCGCTCTGCCCGCTCTGCCCGCTCTGCCCGCTCTGCCCGCTCTGCCCGCTCTGCCCGCTCTGCCCGCTCTGCCCGCTCTGCCCGCTCTGCCCGCTCTGCCCGCTCTGCCCGCTCTGCCCGCTCTGCCCGCTCTGCCCGCTCTGCCCGCTCTGCCCGCTCTGCCCGCTCTGCCCGCTCTGCCCGCTCTGCCCGCTCTGCCCGCTCTGCCCGCTCTGCCCGCTCTGCCCGCTCTGCCCGCTCTGCCCGCTCTGCCCGCTCTGCCCGCTCTGCCTGCTCTGCCTTCATGCAACAGGCTCCTGGACTCCCGTACTATTGTACTCTGGGACAGTGGGCACCATCATCGCCAACAACTTCATCACCGACTTCCAGTTCGGCGGCGTGCAGTGCGGGCAGTGAATTGGCTCCCCGCTCACCTGCATGCACCCTGCGCTGTCTCTTCTTTCTCCCCCTGCTTCCCCCAGGCTCGTGGACCCCAGTCCTCATGTACGCGGGGACAGTGGGCACCATCATTGCCAACAACTTCATCACGGACTTCCAGTTCGGCGGCGTGCAGTGCGGGCAGGGAGACGGGAACGTGGCGGATTGCATGCTCAACACGATTCAGGACAACATCATCACGGCGGAGAGTGCTATTTACCCCGTGCCGAATGGAGATGGATCCGGGATCTACTACGACTTGCACTGGTACAACCCTGGTGCGTTGCGTTCCTGCTGCGGTGGTGATGGTGGTGGTGGTGCCTCAGAAGCTGTGTGACCGTGTCTGCCTGGGGGGGATGTACAGTTGATCGGTCTGGGATTGGCTGAGATCTGAGATGGTAGTAGAGTGAGTGAGTGCTGGTGCGTGTGTGGGCGGACTGCATGCTCAACACGATTCAGGACAACATCATCACGATTCCTGGACACGTGCAACTACATCATCGCAGGCACGCACTGCTACTACCTCGACTTGGTCAATTGAGGCGCTGACACCCGCATTCCCTGCCTCCCCCCCTCCTTCCCCCTTCTCCCCCCTCCTTCCCCCTTCTCCCCCCTCCTTCCCCCTTCTCCCCCCTCCTTCCCCCTTCTCCCCCCTCCTTCCCCCTTCTTCCCCCTCCTTCCCCCTTCTCCCCCCTCCCCTCTCCAGGCAACCTGGACACGTGCAACTACGTCATAGCAGGCACGCATTGCTACTACCTGGACTTTGCCACGTCAGGGCTCACCATTGATGGCGCTGTGTGCATTCGCAACCACGACGGTGTGAAGATCAACACAGGCCACGGGTGAGTGCTAGCAGCAGCCTATCTGTGAGACATGGGGGGAGTTACAGTAGCTGGCCTGCAGACGTCAGGGCTCACTAATGATGGCGCCGTGTGCATATCCAATCACGACGGTGAAAAGATCAACACGGGCCATGCGTGAGTGGAGTGACAATGCCTCTTCCCTCCTCCCTCTTTCCTCCTCCCTCTTCCCGCTGGCCTACTCCTCCCCTCTCTCCTCTCCCCTCCCACCCACAGCAACAAGATTCAGAGTGTGATTGTCGTGAAGCCGACGTGGCAGTCGGGCATCATGAGCTGCCAGAACTGGTGTGACAACAACTGCCACTCCTGGGCGGGCCGAGGGCTCGGCTACAAGTGGTACACCACCTTCATTTCACGCTTCGAAACGCCAGGCTGGCGCAAGGTACGGCAAGTCAGACGCTTCTCCGCTCTAGCACATCATATCCCCTCCGGTAGTAGTTAGGTTCCCCAATGCGATAATTCCCATCTTTCACTCCCCTCTTCTTCCCTTCCCTTCCACCTCCAGAACTGGCCGTTCCTGTCGCATCTCTGCCACCGCACAGAATGGGCGCCGGGCATCAAGACATGCAACCCCATATCTCCACCCAACCTTCCTCCCTTTCCCCCCCTCCCCTCCCCTCCAGAACTGGCCGTTCCTATCGAATCTGTGCAACCGCACGGAGTGGGCGCCGGGCATCCCGTGCAACCCCTCGCCGCCCGTGGCAGCCGCTAAGAACTGGACCGGTTACTGCTCGCAGCACCTGGGATACAACAACGGGAAGCAGCTCTCCGCGAGCGCGAATGTCACGGCGAATTGCAGCGGCGTTCCCGGGCTGAACCATGTGGAGATGATCGTAATCAACGGGACTGGCGGACGGTGGAATCCGTACTATATCAACTGCGACGCGCTGCCGTCCGTCCGGCCAACAAATAACATCACCACCACCACGACTAACTACCCCTGGGGTTTCTTCGATTTTGACAATGTTACGGGAGAGGATTTCGGCGTGTCGAATCTTAGCTCGCGGATGTATCAGTTGTACCCGCATTTTATGACGTGCAGCAGGCGGAGGGCGGGAATCCAGCGCCAAATGCGGGCGTTATCGGCGGCCGCGAGTACTATCCAGTCTTCGTTCGGAGTTAACCCTGCCTCATGGTGGCACGACGTATACGCCTCGATTCCTTACAACAAGGAAATGAGCAGCAGGATTGTGTCGGAGAAGCTTCTGAAGAGGATAAGCACGAACCGTCCGCGGCAGAACCCAGGGCAGAAAGAGAAGAAACCTGGGAACGGCGGAATGGGATTCCAGATGCCGACCATTCCTATTGGAGGCGGAGGAGGCGGTGGGAAAGGGGGAGGCTGGTCAGTTAGCAACTGGTGGAAGAGGAGGAAAACGCTTGAACGCGGAGCTGGTTATGCTGACGCGGACGACGTCGAAGGGGAGGAGGAATCCATTGAGCAGGAGGAGTTGTACGAGGAGTTCGACTCGCCGAACAAGGACGAGACGCGCCACGAGCATTTCAACGTGCTTGAGTATGATCCCTATGCTGGAGGGGACGACAGGCTCGGGGGAGATGCTTTTGACCACCTGTGGATATGATATGAGGCTGGGTTGATAATGTGGAATACGCCTTTTGCGGCGCTTCGTCTATGGATTTAAATTTGAGATGCAACCGTTTAACGATTGTGAGCAGGTTCTTCTCCTGTTTTCTTGCTGCTTGTTTGATTTCTTGTGTGATTGTAAAATAATAGTAATATCAGTTTTTCCACGTGCAATAATGATCCCTATATCACCGTTTCCAGAAATACAAGTACTTTACCATGTTTCCATAATTGCTGATAATGTGGCTATCATTAGACTTGTCAGAGGTCCACTGGTGATCCCCGATTGATCCTACGGAAGGGTTACACGCTCGTTGTCCTTGGGGGTTATGGGCGCACTGAGGGCGTATTCCTATCCTCCTATCAAGAAAACCTCCTATCAAGCTCTCACTGGAAAATTCCCTAAACCCAAAATCTCTCGCTACTTTTACCAGGCAAAAGGTACAATCTTGATAGGAGGTTTCTTGATAGGAGGCCGTAGGAATACGCCCTGACCCGCTACTTAAAACCGAAATATAAAATAGTGAAGGCCGTCCCAGCTTGAAATCGCTGCGATGAGTTGGGTTGACACAACACTGTTCCAAACAAACCAAGTAGGCTGGTTGAACTCATCTGATTGGCTCAAACAAATCTGAAAATTACTCCTCCCGCCAAAACGATTTTCCAGGCCCATATCAATCGTCGCATTTTTACATGCTGCACCCACACGACCGTTGCCAAGCGATGGTTTCCATTGCCAGGTTCAACTTCCAATTCAAGTTGGGACTGGGTGAATTACTAGCTGATTTCGAGTCCCAAAGTCACTAGTCTTTTGCGTAGCATTAGTAAAGCTGAAGAAGGCGTAGATGTTTCTGGCCTAGGCACGTAAGATCCAACTTAGCTCGCGTGCGTAATGTACCGTAGTGAACAAGGCTCTGTATAGTCAATATTTTTCTCGTCTCTCGCAAGTGAAACCCGACCCTTCACCTCGTAGCCCTCGCGTTCTCGATAAATCGGGCTCCCGTTGTCAAACTTATATGCTATAGTCTGTGTAGGCTGTAGTGGGGTAGCCAATATGGGGTACAACACTTTTAGGTTTTCCTACTTGTACCCACCTGTTTCCCAGTGCATTCACTTCCTCGTTATTCTCACATGGTATAGAGCAGGTTCCCTAGTGGGACCGTTTCTTCCTAAGGGCCCACCATTAAATTTTTTTTTTTTCCTAACCTGCCCGAAGCGCGCCTCGCGCTCTGACCTGCCCTACCCTTTCGAGGACCCTTAATGGCCTGCCCTGCTCCTGAGGCCCGTCGCGCCCCCCCCCCCTTTGCGGCCCCTTCGAGGCCCCTTAGCGGCCTCCCTTCGCGGCCCCTTCGCGACCCCTTCACGGCCCCTTCGCGGCACCTTCGCGGCCCCTTAGCGGCACCTTCGCGGCCCCTTGGCGGCACCTTCGCGGCCCCTTCGCGACCCCTTAGCGGCTCCTTCGCGGCCCCTTCGCGGCCCCTTCACGGCCCCTTCGCGGCCCCTTCACGGCCCCTTCGCGGCCCCCCTCGCGGCTCCCTTCGCGGCCCCTTCGCGGCCCCGCCCCGCTGCCCGTAGCGGCCCCTCCCTGTCGCCAGTCGCGGCCCCGCCCCGTCGCCAGTCGCGGCCCCACCCCGTCGCCAGTCGCGGCCCCGCCCCGTTGCCCCTGCCTCGTCGCGACGCCTCAACGGGACCCGCGCGTCGCCCCCGCCTCGTCGCGACGCCCCTGCGGGACCCGCGTGGCGTCACCCGTGCCCGCCGCGGCGCCCTGCCCTAACCCGCGCCCTGGAGCAGCCGCCACTGCAGTAGCCGCCCCTGGAGCAGCCGCCCCTGCAGCAGCCGCCCCTGGAGCAGCCGCCACTGCAGCGGCCGCCCCTGGAGCAGCCACCCCTGCAGCAGCCGCCCCTGGAGCAGCCGCCCCTGAAGCAGCCGCCCCTGGAGCAGCCGCCACTGCAGCAGCCGCCCCTGGAGCAGCCGCCCCTGAAGCAGCCGCCCCTGGAGCAGCCGCCACTGCAGCAGCCGCCCCTGGAGCAGCCACCCCTGCAGCAGCCGCCCCTGCAGCAGCCGCCCCTGCAGCAGCCGCCCCTGGAGCAGTCGCCACTGCAGCAGCCGCCCCTGGAGCAGCCACCCCTGCAGCAGCCGCCCCTGGAGCAGCCGCCCCTGCAACAGCCGCCCCTGGAGCAGCCGCCACTGCAGCAGCCGCCCCTGCAGCAGCCGCCCTTGGAGCAGCCGCCCCTGCAACAGCCGCCCCTGGAGCAGCCGCCCCTGCAGCAGCCGCCCCTGGAGCAGCCGCCACTGCAGCAGCCGCCCCTGGAGCAGCCGCCCCTGGAGCAGCAGCCCCTGCAGCAGCCGCCCCTGCAGCAGCCGCCCCTGGAGCAGTCGCCCCTGCAGCTGCCGCGGAGCCCTCGCCCTACAGTGGTAGTGGCCTCGCCATTGCCGCCGTCGTACGCCTGCCCTTCTCGCCACTGGTGAGCACTGCCCTGCCCGTACTGCTGTTACTGCTGCTCTTGCTACTACTGCTCTTTCTACTGCTACTGCTGCTCCTGGCGTGGCCAGATGCAGCTCCAGCGCCGTCCGCGTGAGTCCCTCGCCCCCCAACAGCTTCGTGAGTGGTACGCTAGTTGGGGTTGTAGGGGTGGCGCGCTGCGACTACTGCTATTGCTACTTCTGCTGCTACTGCGGCTACCACTGCTCCTGGTGCTCCTGGCGGTGGCCAGATGCAGCTCGAGCGACGTCCGCGTGAGTCCCTCACGCCCCAGCAGCTTCGTGAGTGGTACGCTACTTGGGGTTGTCGGGGTGGCCGTAGTGGGAGTCGTCTTGGAGTGAGTAGTTCGGCAGCTGCTTGTAGTGGCCAGGTGCAGCTGCAGCGTCGTCCGTGCGCGGTCCTTTCGCCCCAGCAGCTTCGTGAGTGGTACGCTCAGCGTGGAGGGTCACGGGGTACTGCTCGCTGTCCGTACGTCATTCGCACTGGTGCTCGGACTGGTCAGCCTTGCGGGACGTTTGGTCACGCAGAGCCCCGCTGCTTCGCCCGTCTGAGCGACGCCTGGCGTACGGAGTTTGGCGACGTGGCTGAGCTCCCCGACTGGGCGGAGCTGCTTAGGCTGCGGGTAGATATCTATACTCTTGACTATGATGCTATCCTCACTGCCATGTATGCATTGCCTACTAGTGGTGAGGGTGACAGTTACCTGTGTGTTCCGCCTGACCCGGGCATTGAGACTGCTGCTCTAGGTGCTGGTGAGGCTGCTGCTCTAGGTGCTAGTGCGTCTGCTGCTCCAGGTGCTGGTGAGTCTGCTGCCCCAGGTGCTGGTGAGTCTGCTCTCTCAGGTACCACGTCGGCTCAGGCCTTACACACCTTCACCCTTGACTCGGGTGCTTCCCGCTCCTTCTTTCGAGACCGCACCACACTCACGCCGCTTAGTCGGCCAGTTGCGGTCTCCCTGGCGGACCCCTCTGGGGGTCCTGTCCTTGCCCACTTCTCCACTGTCTTACCGTGTCCGGCGGCCCCCTCTGGCACCCTGTCAGGTCTCTACCTCTCGTTCTCTACGAACTTGGTGAGTGGTGCTGATCTACAGGATGGGAGGGTTGACCAGTTCACTCCTGCGAGTCAGCGGGTGACCCACTGTACGTGTGCTCGGACGGGCCGACACTTGGCCACGTTTACCCGTCAGCCGGGGTCGAGCCTGTACACACTGACTACTGAGTCCCCTCCGGTTGCTGAGTCTGGTCAGGTAGCTTCGTCGGGTCAGGTGTTTGCTGCAGCGTCCAGGTCTAGTCCTGAGTCTGCTCCCTGCTCGTGTCGTCTCCTGTCCCACCGGACTCTCCTCTGGCACCACCGCCTTGGTCACCCCTCCCTGCCTCGTCTCCGAGGCATGGCCTCCCGTTACCTTGTCTCTGGTCTCCCCCGGTCCCTCCCTCCCCTCCCCCTACCTGCGTTCCTTATGTCGAGGGGCGGCAGCGCGCCGCCCCTCACTCCTCCGAGTTTCCTCCGACAGAGGCTCCGTTGCAGACTCTTCACATGGACGTGTGGGGCCCCGCCCACCTCCGTGGCCACGGTCACGAGCGTTACTTCCTGTTGGTGGTTGACGACTACTCGCGTTACACCACGGTGTTCCCCTTGCGCAGCAAGGGTGACGTCACTGAGGTGTTGATCGACTGGATCCGCGCAGCTCGTCTCCAGCTCAGAGAGAGTTTCGGCTCGGACTTTCCTGTTCTGCGTCTGCACTCTGACAGAGGCGGGGAGTTTTCCTCTGGCCTTCTGGGAGCCTTCTGTCGTGCACAGGGCATCCGCCAGACGTTCACGCTTCCGGCCTCTCCACAGCAAAATGGGATTGCTGAGCGCCGCATTGGCATGGTCATGGACGTCGCTCGTACGTCCATGATCCATGCGGCTGCTCCCCATTTTCTGTGGCCGTTTGCGGTTCGGTACGCAGCGCATCAGATCAACCTTCAGCCCCGGGTCTCCTTGCCAGAGACCTCCCCCACCTTGCGGTGGACGGGGAAGGTTGGCGATGCGTCTGCGTTTCGTGTCTGGGGATCTCGGGCGTTTGTCCGCGACTTGTCTGCGGACAAGCTGCCCCCCCGTGCTGTTCCCTGCGTCTTCCTTGGCTTCCCCCCTGACGCGCCTGGTTGGCAGTTTTACCACCCCACCTCGCGCCGTGTTCTGTCCTCCCAGGACGTCACCTTTGACGAGTCGGTTCCTTACTACCGTCTCTTCCCCTACCGCACTGCGCCCCTCCCCCCGCCGCCGCTCTTCCTTGCGCCAGGTCCCCCCCCGGTAGACCCTCTCCCCCCTCAGGGTCCTGCCCCGTCAGGTGTGTCCCAGGTAGACGCAGTCGAGCCTGTCGAGGTAGCTGTTGACTCTGGTGCTGCTAGGGGTGCTGAGCCTGGGGGTGCTGAGCCTGGGGGTGCGGAGCCTGGGGGTGCGGAGCCTGGGGGTGCTGAGCCTGGGGGTGCTGAGCCTGGGGGTGCGGAGCCTGGGGGTGCGGAGCCTGGGGGTGC